TAGTTTATTGCTAAAGAATCAGTTAGCTCACTCGGACCAGTTGAAAGTTCCAAAATAACATCCACTCCAGGGATACAAATTCAGGATACGCAGAACACTGCTGTTTTATTATAGGCGGTTGTCATATATTGTATTATCCGAGTTGCACAGTGTATAAACTGAAACATTGAGATCCAAAGTGCCGACGCAGAGTGAGCGATCTGTTTCTTTAGCTGTAAACTGTGTCACAGGGTTCAAAATGGCCGTGCCCTATGTTGGGCATGTCGGACCTCTCTCTTGCCTCGTATAGTAATTAAAGTATGTGACGTCGATTCAATTTTTTCGGCCAACGAACCGAATAAAACAACCCCGTGCTACTTCTTTCGCCTCCATTTTGATACTGAACGTCTGTGTCGCTGCTTGTCGTCTGTTAAAAATCGCACCTAAAAAATCGCATGCGGCAGGTAGCGCGCGACATGTCGCGTGAGTGGGCTTTCCCTCTTAGTTTTTACATGAGTCTTTAGATAATTGTGATCAAGCAGAGGTAGTTTTAACATATTTTAAAAAAGCTTTTCGACCCAAAAGTAATTTTTAACAAGTTAGGTCAATTTGGATTTTTATCAGCAATGAAAACATTCTTCCTCTCATACTTATCTTGTTGACAACAATTTGTTTTTTTAAAGGATTTTCATCAAATTTATTCTATGTTATCTCAGGAGTTCCTCAAGGGTCCAATATGGGTCCTCTACTTTTCTTGTACTTTATCAATGATGTCTCTGATTATATCGCTTGTTCCAAATTGTTATTTGCGGACGATTTAAAAGTATTTCTTGAAATTTCTGATATACATCATTGTCATTATTATTTATTCCTTTAAGAACATAATTGTTTCTCAACATACGAAAATGCAAAACTATAATTTTTAGCAGAAACAGTCAATATAAAATTTTTTAAATATACCATTAATAATGAAGAACTAGTCAGGTGTGATCAAACTAAAGATCTAGGTGTTATATTTGATTCGGAGCTAACTTTTAATGTACATGTTAATACTATTACTAAATCTGCAAATAAAATGTTAGGATTTTAGTTTCGTAATTGTCAAAAGTTTAGAACTGAAGTTGCCTTAAAGTAACTGCACTTTTCATTAGTTCGTTCCAAGTTGGAATATGCTTCTTTGATTTCGTATCCAAAAACAGAGTTGCAGAAGAACAGCATTGAACGAGTGCGACGCAAATTTTTTAAATTTTTAAATAACAAGGTTAGGGGCATCTATCCCCCTCATAGATTTGATAAAAATATGTTGAGTAATAGATATAATGTACAATCCCTTGAAAACAGAAGAAAATTAATGTCAATTTCTACAATTTATAAAATACTTCATAATATAATTGATTGTTCTATTCTACTCGAAGGACTTTACTTTTTAGTAACACGACAAAATGCATCCAACACGTTTCCTTTTCTTATTCCCAGGACTAACCTGTTAATGAAATCACCAATATACAGGGTGTCCCGAAATTAGACGGTCATATTTTAACAGCGCAATCTACATCCTATAATAGGAGTAAAAGTTCATATAAACATATAAACAGATAAATCGGAGGTGGAAAGGTGCGCCATTGAGTGAGCTTTACATTTCCTAGAAATGTAAATGACTGTCCTAGGTTGTTGGTTGCTGGGAAAGCTAAAAATTGAACTATTTAGATTTTTAAGACCTAAAATTTTAGTGTTTATTATCCAGGGTTCCTGTATCTTATGGCTCATCAAAACGGCGGCACTATGTTGCCGTAGCCACCCTTTTGTACTGCAAGTTATATTGTATGATAGTTACCTCTTTTATTGCTTTCCGGTCTTCCGTTAAAAATTGGACAGCAAGGTGGTTTTTTTTTATTCGACCATCCCTTTCTCTGAAAGTGGGGAGGGGATTATCTCTTATGGCTTCTCGAAATTTTCATGCTGGAGGTCATCGATTGCCATTTTTTTTTTGGCTCAACGTCCTCCACTGTTGGCTTGAATTGGGGAGAAAGAGGGTCCTTTACCTTCTGGTATAATCTACAATGATTTTTCTTGGGCAACTGCAATCTAAGATCTGTTTAAAGTTAGGTAGTTTATATTATTGTCATAAGAGCCTATTTCTTAATGGAACTTAGTCATCTCCTAATTTTGATGGTTTTTCTATAAAAGAGTACCGATGACATTGTATCTATTTACGAAGTTTTCTGTTTTAGAGTTGGATATAAAACACACGACTATTTTGTAAAAACTGGAACAAAACAAACATAAACATGACCTCAAAAATAATAGTAAATATTTTACCTGTAGCTTGGAGAAGTGTTTCGTTAACAATCATTGAATTGACACACATGTTATGTTATGTTGATAATGGGGTGTTAATACACTGCGACCTAAAAGATCTATTGTGCCTCCTTCTGTCGCCACTGCACTAAGGAAATGTCTCAATGCCTATAGCGACCCTTCCAATCCTATTTTCTCAAGGAAGTGTAGGATTTGAAGTGGCTTCAAGTTAGGTAAGTCTCCCTCTTCTATTTGATATCCTCCTAGATATAGTGCCCTTGGATTCTGGAGTGCTACACATTCAGTTAGGATGTGAATGGAGGTTTCGTCCTCCTCCTCACAGAATCTGCACTCACTATCCTCTACTACTCTCAGTTTACTTAGGTGTCCTTTTAGTCGGCAGTGCCCGGTAAGGATCCCTGTTACAATACGTAGCCTGATCTTGCTCAGGCAGATCCAGGCTTCCGATCTTTTTTGGTTATATTCACCCAGAAGTATCTTGGCCTGTCTCAGCCCCAAGAGATTGTTCCAATTATTGGTTCTTCTACTACCCAATTCTTTTTTAATCTCTTCTAATATTATTGACACACATACTTCCGATTTATTAAATTCGCAGTTTTCTTTAAACACGGTTTTTAAATAAACACAATTAAAATTGACTTATGGTGAATTTTCTGGTTTGACAGCTTGATTGGAAGCATCGATATAAAATAATGTAGAGGAAATAAACACTATTTTGCGATATGACAAGTGAACGCACTTTGAGTCGTATTTTGATTAATTTGACGTTAATAATTTTATATTTGAAGATTGACTGAATGAAAATGTTTTTATATCATATAAGTCATATTATTTAAAACAAAAATTATATTTATTTTCACTAAAACTGACTAACTTCACTTGCTCGAGTTTTAGTATCGTCATAGCATCTCCTGTTTAATTTATATCAATGATTGGAAAGTTCGTATACCCCGCCCTACTATATGACGTCACTGTGTGCATTGCGTAAATTAAGCTGATTTAAGTGATTTTATGATTGTTTCACTACGTTTCAGGAATCTGTTAACATGCGACATCTCTTTTTAGCTAAAGACTTTCAAGAATGCTTCTCACACTTATAAAAAAAAAGAAGGCCATGGAAACGCGATTAGCCAGAGCGCAGTGGCGTACCCAAAAATATATATTTAGGGCTCGGCCACGCTTGCGAGCGATTTATCCCGAAAGATAAATCGTGGACGACTGAACGATAAAAAAATATTTCAAACCTATTGAATTTCATTGAAGTGGCCATACCGAAAAAGTCGCTTAGCGAAAAATCGCTTAGCGGCTAAGCGTGTCGCTCTGTTTTCAATTCGGTTTGGTTTTAGAGCGACTTTTGTTTAAATTTTTAAGCGACTTCTCTTGCAGTTTGTCTTGTTAACTGAAGAGTGCACATTCACAATGTCTGATTTTAAAGAAATTTTAATTTCGGAAGTGTAAAGTAGACTCATTTTATGGCAGGATACTAATAAACATTTTAAAAATAAAAGTGTGACAGACAAGTTATGGGCAGAAGTCGGACTTGCTTGCGGTATAGAAGGTAAGTTATTTTGCATAAAATTATTTTGAGGTTATGTTATACAAATCCTTATAAAGTTTACCATTGTTAATCGTACAAAAATAACAAAAATAAATGCAAGTAAATACAGATGATTACTGAGGTTCATACAAATATGTTTCAAACATCTCTCTAGTTTGTTTAGCTTCTTTGGATAATCGATTATAAGTTCTTCCTTGTCCTTGATTTAATTGAACAGCATTTTCGTACGTTTGCAAATTTAAGGTTTCCATAACAGTACAATAATCAAGATCGGTTTCACCGTCGTGACTTCGTATAAAATTATGAAGTATGCAGGCACATTTTATTAATACGCTAGCTTTATCGGGATATGTCTCTATATCTTTTGATAAAAAACGCCATTTTGAATAAAGAATTCCGAACGCACACTCGATACATTTTCGGGCTGTAGAGAGACGCGTATTGAAATATTCTCTTCTTGGTGTAAGCACTCTGCGTGGATACGGCCTCATTAAGTATTTTTTCAAAATTAAAACATTAGGTAATTTTATGTTTGATCCTGGTAGTTCTTGATCTGGGGGGACGGAAAATTGTTTGGTTTCCAATAAGTTAAATAGAGTTGATAAATGTCCCTCCATCGCTTTGCTTTCCCCTTCCCCCTACTTCTATTGTCAGGAACTTTTTATCGGCATCAGCCACGCCCTGTAGTACTATCGAAAAGTATTTTAAATAATTAAAATAACTCGATCCTGAGTTTGGCGGACATTTTATTTGACAGTGCTTGCCGTCAATTGAGCCAAAACAGTTGGGAAATTTCCATCGATTATAATAGTCGGATATTACTTTCTGTAAATGTTCCTCAGTACGCACGGGCATATATTCATGTACCAATTTACTCCAAATTATTTCAGCTATTTCAAAAACTATCTTACTTATCGTGGACTTGCCCATTAGAAATGAAAATGCTAGACTTCTGAATGAACATCCGGTAGCTAAATACCTACAACAAGAGCAATCGAATTAGTTTTTCAACATAGTACAGGGTTATTGATTATTAATTCCCCCTTTAATTTATTTATGTGACGTTTCAGAACAAATTAATTGTCCCAAATTAAAAGTTCAATGGTTCAAGTATCGGTGTAACTAGAATGGTTTCTTGTTTTAGGTAATATCGCAAAATCAAAGTGGAAGAATCTAAAGGATCAGTTCAGGCGCGAAACCCAAAAAATTCCTGTTTTAAAATCCGGATCAAAAGCAATACCAACTAAAAGTAAATGGCAGTACTTTGAAAGCATGCAATTTTTACGTGATTATACAACACCTGCACCGACTCAGGGTAATTTAAATGATACCAGACATTCGCAAGTCAATGAAACACAACAAGATGCTAGTGAAAATACCGATGATGAAATAGAACATAGTACAAGTAATGACGAAAGTGATGCAGATGTCACAATGAATTAATCATTACTATTGGTAACGCCGTCATCACATGCAGAATCAGTATCACGAGGGCGGCATCGGCTGTCCGAAGGATCAACATCACGACCGCAATCCCAATTGTCAACATCGCGCCCTTCAAGCAATGCTTCTGTTGGATCCGAATTAGTGAAACGCCGCATCCCTCAAAAAACGAAACGCCCAAAATCTCAACCACCAATATTTGGAGTTACAGAAAAGGAAAGTTTCTTTGTTGGAAAAAGAAGTTAACCGAGGTGATGAAACAGAAAGTGCTGATTTATATTTTTTTCCGAAGGTTACTGCCATATATGGAACCTTTATCGCTGTTTGATAAATTAGAGCTCAGAAGTAGTATACAACAATTAGTATTCGACAAATTTAAGGAAACCATCACTCAACAGCAGCCACCGGTGCAACAGAAACAGCAGTCTCTGACTCAACTGCAGCCACCGTTGTAACAGAAAAGGCAGTCTGATTTATTTCCACGCAGGCCACTCCAGTTACAAAGGGAATCCCAAAATGATAAAACACTAATATATCACGAACTTTTACCTTACCAGCCCTCACAACAACCGTTACCACTACCACAATTTGAAAATAACTACTACCCCAGGGACACCCAAGAAGAAGAGTTTTAACGCGGGCTCAGAATTTATGTCTATGTAGGTAACTAGTTTTTTTACTTACCTTATTGTAACCACTAATCTTTCTTCAGTAGAAATTGGTTTTCCAAAATTGGTAGTTTTTTTTACAACACTTCTTCTAATTTTATTTAGTAGCAAGTCAAATGTGTTTATGCTCATTCTAAGGTACTGGAAAAACCTCTCTGGGTATTTTCGCAACTGTTTGTATAAGTGATGAAATTCTCCGTATGCTTTTCTGTATCTATTGATGGGATGTACACCATATTTTTTTTTACACTTTAACAAAGAGTAAATAAATGGATTATCTTCCAAAAGGAAGGCAATTCGACGCGTTCGTGTGAGAAGCATGACGAAAACTAATATTTGAATCGCTTTTCTGTGGACAGGTTCTCGCTTGTCGCCCGCTACATTGTCGTGAACGATTTATCTCTTACGATAAATCGCTCTCAAGCGTGGCCGAGCCCTAACACGTATGAAAACAATATAATTATTAAAATTGAATTAATATTTTTATTTTTGAAAGAGTAAAACCAAATTTGGTAGATTTTCACACTTTTATTTTAAAAATAAAAATTTTTAAACAAACACTAACATGACATATGTTTCGAAGTACAACTTCTTTTTCAAATGTGACTATTTACAATTCGGTATCCAATATATATACAAAATAATTTAACAAAACAAAGTACTTAAGAACACATCAATAACATTACAAAATAAACTAACTATTTAAAGTAAATAAGGGTACTTAGGTATATATATTGGATACCGAATTGTAAATAGTCACATTTGAAAAAGAAGTTGTACTTCGAAACATATGTCATGTTAGTGTTTGTTTAAAAAAAAAAAAAAAAAATTTTTATTTTTAAAATAAAAGTGTGAAAATCTACCAAATTTGGTTTTACTCTTTCAAAATTAAATGGATTTTCATCAAGTAAAGGCCGAAACAATAAATAATAATATTTTTATGTTATTTATTTTAAAATAATGTATTTTTACAAAATGTAACTGGATGTTCACTGCACAAATAAACCAATGGAGAAACCGCCCCTGATGCTGTTACTTAGCTGTTACTTAGCTGATTATACGAGTACTTTATCAGCCATATTTGTGAATAACTCCACAGTCTCTGTAGATCGAATACTAAAAATATAAAATTTCACGTCAGTTTTATATTGATGATCATGTTAGATGGGATACCCATAATAATTTTTTCTACACCCACATGGATATTAGCTTATCTACGCACATATTACAAAACGAAAAAGTATGTTATTGCCTTTCATGGGCGAAGTTATGTCATCAGATCTGGGGAGCTAAAGCCCTAGCCCTAGTTATATAATATATAATAGTTCTAGAGGTATATCTATACTGAAGTTAAGTAAAAAAATTCTGGCGAATCTATGAAAATGGATAAAATATCATATATCGATTCTAAACAAAGTTTTGCAAAATTTCAATATTGTGAATTTGTAGATATCCATTTATGGTAAAAAACTAAATTTTACGACTTGCACTTGGAAAATAATGAATACTTCAGTTTTGTTTTCGACATTAACACCATATAGATTGCAATTTGCACTTTTTCGCAGATTTCATTTTTAACATAAACACTATCACATACTATAAGAAATAAACAAATTTAAAGCTAAAAAGTAAGAAAAACTCGAATTGTAATTGATACAAATTAAAATGTAAACAATGAACTCGTTACCAAATGATGAACTAATTTTAAAACAAAATTAATAAAGGAACTGAAATGAAAAAAAAAAAAATTAATATAATAAATCGGTTTTATAAAAAAGTCCTTAAATAAATAGTAGAGTATGATTACATATTACTATACACAAATTTTGATTCTTAAATAAAAGGTCTTATCCACTTCTTCAAGAGCTAAAATCCGACGACGTAGCGAAATTTTGCTACTTCTGGCAAGACTGAACGATATCCTACTTATAGGGACCTTCTACAAATTTCCTCCAGAGGGCGTATGACTTAGCTTGAATCGCGAATAAATATCCTTCCAATTATATCTTCTCAAGGAAGTGTAGGATTTGGAGTGGCTTCAAGTTAGGTAAATCTCCCTCTTCTATTTGATATGCTCCTAGGTATAGTACCCTTGGATTCTGAAGTGCTACACATTTAGTTAGAATGTGAATGAAGATTTTTTCCTCCTCCTCACAAAATCTGCACTATCTTCTACTACTCTGTTTACTAAGGTGTCATTTTAGTTGGCAATGTCCAGTAAGGATCCCTGTTACAAGTGTTCTCACTACTAGAAAAATGTATATTATGATAACAGCTTAAAATACAATCTGGCTAATATGGAACACCCCGAAAGCCTTGCCAGACTCGTCTAATGACCGTCAGGCGCGCTAAATTCGGCACGTTCGATTACTATTCCTCTCCTCGTTTAACTACCTGGCTTGTCAGGTCCGACCAAAATACGGTTTTATAACCGAAACAGAAACCAAATTTCGGCTCCTTTCTTAGTTTCGGCCGAAACAGAAACAAGAACTTTCTTTTATGGAAATCTCTTATTGAAATTTGCAATATCTCATTGTAATCCTTGTTGTAGACTAATTAACTCGTATTATAAATTTTAGCTACATTTACTTATTACCTGTTTATTTATGTGATCAAAAGAAGCCATTAATAAATTTATTGACATGTTCACTTGAAACAAAGCAGAGAAGTTTGTGTGTACGTGCACTGTGTAGGAATGGCACCCGGCACAGTCGCCATTGTGACGGACACAACCAATTGTGATACGAAAACTTTTAAAAGTAGTTTCGCTGTCGGCTGCAGTTTCGGCCAGTTTTCCGCCGAAACCGAAACTGTAGTCGAAACTATTATTTAAAGTCAAAGTTGGCCGAAACCGTAACCGAACCTTCGGTCGGACACTACTTGTGAGTCTGGCAGGATTCCGTAATTGTAATTGTCAGCCAGACGTGTATTTTCACTTACGAATATTTTGAAATTTATCCTAAGTAGATGGATAATGTTCTTAAAATATGCGTGAGTGTGCAAAAATTTACTGATAATAATTTAGGCACGTTTGGTATTGGGTAAGAAAGTTTTACACCAAAATATCCAAATTAAGTGTAAAGGTTAAAGAAAAAGTCCTTTATTTCTCACAAAGTCAATTTATTGGCGACCGGTTTCGAAGTTGTCACTTCATCATCAGGCACAACTTCGAAACCGGTCGCCAATAAATTGACTTTGTGAGAAATAAAGGACTTTTTCTTTAACCTTTACACTTAATCCCTACTACTCACATATGGCTACCCTCACTCCAAAAAAAACAAAATATCCAAATTTCAAAACTTGACATGAATATAAAACATATGTTTTATATGCTGTGGCCATACCATGATCATTTGTCATATTTGAAGTCGTTTAGTTGACGCAAAAAACCTAATTATTATTTTACATAAAATAAATGTAGTGTATTTCTACCTAGTTATAATTGGTATTAAATAAAATATTAACCACTGAAATGGCAAATTTTTTATATGCATGAAAGAGCTGCTCAACTGTCAAAAAATTTTCAGTATAATTTCGTTCAGGGTACCCACCAAAAGAAAAATTTCCGGAAATTTTTCTGGTTGTCATGAAAGTGTTTTAAAATAACAGCAGTTGATTGGCTATAAAATGGAGGTGTAAAATTATAATTTAATTTATCACGTGACAAATTTTCAAACCCGGGAAAATAAAAGCAAAAATATTATATTTTTTCCATTTAGAAGATATTACCAGACTCATTAACCAATTTCGTAAATCAGCCAGACTTATTATTATAAACAGTTCATGATTGTATCAATTTATATGCTCAATTTTCTGCCACACTCACTTTCCACTATCTGAGATAATCCAAACTGTTATTTTTATAAGCTTTATGCTCTAGTTTAGTAAATGTAAAATAGTTATGACTGGGAAAATAAGTGTCAGACTCAAAAATTTTGTTTTTTGTCACTAAGAGAACAGTTTATTTTTCATATACACCGACTGGAAAAATGAATACGAAAAAAATTCACTGTCTCCTGAACTAAATGTAAAATTGCAGAATCAATCAAATGGCACGATTCTTTTTATTTTTTAATTTCTGTTCTGAAATCTGAAATGTTTGGGTGGATGTGCGATAAATGTTCGAATTATTTTTGGGGGGGGCTAATTTGGTTTTTGCCCCCCCTTAACTTCGCCCATGTTGCCTTTAACTGAACGAATATATTTTATAATAATCCTAGGTAGTAAGAACACTGAAAAAAAATGAAATCCACCAATCACCGTTCATATTTTGATCAACCGACTGCTATTATTTTTAAAATTTTAAATAAGTGACAATTCTGACAAATTAAT